AACAGGATCAGAGAACAGGCTGGGACAAGTGGTCCAAGTGGATTCAGGAAGATCTAAGTTGCCAACTCTCTGAATGACTTTTAGAGATCCCAATCTGAAAGACAATACTCCAGAGCTGAGGAAAATCATTAAGCTTCCCACAGCATCAGAAAACAATCCTATGTAATAGCTGGTACAGGAGACTTTTGTCAGAGGTATTCTAAGTATGGGAAATATTATATAGTTTTTGTGAGTCTCTTTCTAAAAAACTGATTTTTTTCCAAATTTCAGTCATCTGGAAATTAACATATTTCTTTGTTAAAAAAGATACACAGGCCATGAAAATCTTGATGAGACTCTGAGTCTGTTTCTTCATAAGACTCAAAATCAGCTTGAGTCAAGTGTCAAGAACAGGGCAAGAGTTTCCCCAAACAGATATTTTCCAGTAGCAAGAAGGCAGAGGTAGGAGAAGCAACCTCTGGCTTCTACAAATATTTCTCACATTTGTTCAATTCCAGATGAGAAAGTTTTCAGGTTCTGTGGAGGTACAGACCTACAACACTGATGGTTTAGAAATAATACAGAGATTGGTAGGGCCCAAGACCTCTTCAGAATGGCAGAAGTAAAATGAGAAAAACTTTCTTTTTTAACAGTGAAATTTTTACAAAAGTGACAGAAAACATTATCATCAACACCTAAGTCTCTCCTGACTGGAATAACAATCATTATTGGTTGGAACATGGTGAAGTAAAACTGGGGAATAGGAAGTTTTAACTGCAGAAAGATAAAGGGATAAAGAATAATGCCCTATGATAATTGTTTTTTTATCCTTTGTACTGTAATTTTATATAGAATAGTTTTAGGGAAAAAAATGGTTTTAGGACTGGTGGAGGTTTCAGAATAGATTTTTTTAATGCAAGCTATTTGTCTGTGTCTTAAGTACTTCAAAATGATTAACATTAGAAAGGTAGAAGACTTACTTCAAAAAAAGTGCAAAATATTTTATTTCCTTGCACAGGAAATAAAGACAGAACAAAAAGCAAGTTCCCTTGCATTTTTCCTCAGGTTTATCCTGCATGAAATTATAAACAGTTTTGGTGAAGGCTTTGATCTGGAGCAGTTTAAAACAGATTCTCTAAAAACAAGCTCCCGAATCCACTGGAAGAGATGAATGAACCAAAAAAGTATCAGAAGCTCTGAGGGCCATGCCACTGCTGATTTCATGTCACTACAAAACTTGTCACTTGAAAACAAACACTTTAAAATATGAAACAATGTATCTAAACCTCAAATGTCCATAACAAAACACTCCACTGGAATTTTATCAGCTTTAAAAAGTCAGACAATAACCAGCAAAGTGAAGGAACCTCATTTTCTCCTGTCAGCTCTTTCCAAAAATGTATTAGGTTGCTTACTTATTTGTTGTCTCCAAAGTATCAGTGGTTACTTTAAAGTCATGGTCTCCAATGAAAGGTACAAAGTCTGTAATTTCATTTAAATTCAGGATAAAATTGAGTAAAAAATTAAAAATTCTACTACTTTTTCATTTTCTACTATTTAAAATGAAGATATATTTTTGCCCAAACTGTATTGAACTTCGTAGTTCCTCATCAGTTTAATCACACTTTCCATGATTTTCAGTGATATAGTCGCAAAATTTCACTATTCTAGCTAATGGTGTTGATCATTTCAGTAAAGTTATTTGCTTAGGAATATAATCATCAAACTCTGAGTAAAAGGGAGATGATCCTGTGTACCTTTATTTTTTAAATCAACTCCATTTTTAACAGCCTTAATGGATTCTAGTTACTCAAAGAAACCTCATAGTCACATTTTGACTGAAAATTAGTGACAGAAATGCAGGAAATTTTTTACAATGTACCTTTGTTTCTTAAAGAAAAACATCTAAAAGTTGGAAAAAATTCACACTAATTTTCAGTTTTAAAACATCCACTGTTTCCTTCTCATATACAATCTAACTCTTTTAAATTATTCCTTTCTGGCACACTGGGGTCTCAATTTTGTACAAGTATTCTTTATACACCTAAGGATGGATTGAGACATTAATGAGTCACACCTATGTTCTGTGTGGGAAGAGGCACAGTGAGCTGTACACTCTGAAGTGCTATTTAATATCACAGAACCATATCATTGGGAATATGGGTTGGGATGGAATGGACCTTTAAAAGTCATCTAGTCCAACCCCCCTGCCATGGGCAGGAACATCTTCATCTTGACTGGGTTGCTCAGAGCACCACTCCACCTCCTCTCTTGCCAACCTGTTCCAGCATTTCACCTCCCACACTCTAGAAACTTTCTCTCATATCTGACATAAACCAACCCTCCTTCAGTTGAAAACCATGTTCCCCTCTTCCTGTTGCAGCAGGCCCTGCTAAAACTTTGTCCTCCTCTTCCTTGAGGAGCCCTTTAGGTGCTTGAAGGCTGCTATAAGATCTTCCCAGATTATGCTCTCGGGATTGTTCAGCCTGGAGAATCATCTCAGCCTTTCCTCATAGGAGAGGTGCCTTGATTCCTCTGATCATCTTGGTGGCCTCCTCTGGACTCACTCCAAGGCACCTGTCCTTCCTGTGCTGAGGACCGCAGAGCTGGATGCAGCACTGCAGGTGGGGTCTCACGAGTGGAATAGAAGGATGTGCAGTATAAGTTCCCCTCTGTGCATGATTAATGGTACAACACTAAAACACAGTCAGGATCCATGTCTAACTCAATTCCCCACCATTAATAGCAGCAGTAAACTGCTCTATGGTTCTCCCAGTTATTCAACTCCGTGTGCAGTCCCAGCTTTTCCCTGCAATCTTAATTTTTATCAAAAGATGTACCAAGAGTTCTACCCTAAAATATATTTCTAACTCTTTACAGATCTGATGCTTTGAATACATCTCATTTTCCAAAGCTATTTTTTAAATTGGGTCAACAAACTATCAATAGTTACAAAGCATCTATAGCTTTATCTAGCAGCATTTTCTATTGAACTTCCCATTCTATGGCTACAAAATACAGAATAGGCCTCCCAAGAAATAATGGAATTCAGATTTTCTACACTAACACTGGAAAATGAAGGATAAAAAATTAATATTAAGGCTTCACTAGGCGTGTTAGTCTACAGGTAAATGCTGTAGCATACAAAAAAATACTGTTTATATTGAAGGCACTTATTTTGATACATTACACTGCATTTAATACACTAGAGCTTTTAACCTTACAGTTAGTACTAAAGTATAAAGAAAAATACCACTGCTGTTCTTTCTTTACAATGTTTATAGTTGAGAAAATATTGAATTAATATATTTTTTTTCTGCCTTCATAACTTCTAAAACATCTATTTCAAAATCAGCAGAAACAGAGGTTACATAAAGCAACTTAAGCCACTGTTCCTTTTTCATGGAAAAATCTAACTAGGGATTAGTTAGGGAAATTCCTGTCCCCTTCCTCCTTAACACATGTACATGGTAAAGCCAGATAATAATATAACCTTCATGTGTTTTTTTTTTTTTTTAATTTTCCAGGTGAATTTAGTATTTGACATGGCTCCAACATAGATGATATCACAGGCATCAGTTGTTGGACTGACTGTGGAAATGAGTACTGTTAGTATGCATCAGTTTCCTGCAAGGTTATACTCTGGGTACATTCTTCAAGGAGAAAATTGTTCATTTTCTTCATCTGCTTTTTGTATTCCACAGCTACCTCTGTATTCTACAAACTTCTGTTACTTCACAGCTTTCGAACTTTCACAGCCTTTTAACTGAAAAGCTCTGATGACAAAGGCTTTTTAGAAAGCTGCGTGCTCTCTAAGAGACTGGGGCACTGGGAGATGACCCACCTCAAACTTCACTTGCCTGCTACTAAAGACATGCCCTCAATGGTAAAAACAACACACGGCTTCCAACTTCTGTGTGAAGCAAAGTATTTCTGAATCGTGTGCAAGTCAAATGTGAGCCTTGATACTTCTATCAGGAAGAAAAGATTACATTTTACTATAGAAAAAGCCATTCCCTGTATACATTAACTAAAAGTATACGAATGTTAAAGAATTTCTTTAAAACTCCATCTCAGTCAGGAACTTATTTGTCAAGCATTACAGGGCAAATTGCTTTTGTAATCTTAGTTCTTTACAATACAGCAGAGAGTTTGATGGAAGAAGAGATTTACACTAGCTCATGTAGTTTTCTCAATTCTGTTATTAAAAAAAAAATTACGTTAATTTGGTAAAAATATTGAAACATACCCAGACTTATTCCCAAATTCAGATTCATACCATTTTAAACCTTGCTAAAATAAAAGATTAAAATATTTACTGTATGTGTATTATTATCAGGACAAACAGAATGTCAGTGACATGCATAACGTTTAACATTATTTCAACATTATGCTGAATACAATATGTGCATGATATTTTAGGAAAGCCTACAAACCAGTTTGGCAAATAATCTATATTAGTGGATAACTCTTTGACATTGCTGGCATATTCCTAAATGTTTAGGATAGATATGTTTTCTTAATATTTACTGGTATCTAATTGTATTGCCATTGACAATCAGAACTGAACTACCATGCCAAAAAAATTACAACCTAAAATGTTGAGAGCATCCATATCAGTGATATAGTGTGGAAAAATGATTACGATCACTTTATGCCTTTATGTAGATCACTTCTACAAGAACACAAATGAATTTTATCAAAGAAACACATATGACACAAATGACATTTAACAATTTTAAGCTGTGCACATATATTGCAAAAGCAAAGGAAAGGCAGGTGCATGCTCACAAAAGCTGCAAACAGAGGAATATCATGCATACTGTTCACAACTCACAGGTTATTAGTAAGCTATTTGAAAAACAGTTAAGCCTTTTATGCCAAGCATTGCTTTCATTTTAATGACAGTAATTCCCCTTGCCTTCAGTAGGAATTACACCTGTGTAAATGAGAGCAAATGTAGGGCAGAAAATAAGTCGACCATAAAAGAAAAGAATTTTAAACAGAAAAAAGGCTCTAACCACTTTGTCCTCCTGGAGTTCATATCCACGAAAGCAAGAAAGGAAGGATGGAGGGAAAAAAACACAAATAAGGAAAGAGTCACGTCCATTTGGAAAGTAAGCACTTGAATTTTTTAGTAAAATAAACAAATAAATATCAAAGGAAGTAATATATATTTTTCTTATTTTCCCTAGTGGTGAAGGAGATATAGTGAAAAATTAATAATTTTCATGATCTTTTAATGAGTGAAATTGAGATTGTCTTATAATAAAAAATTGTACCAAAAATGTTCAACGGAAATTATTTTCATAAAAATAATTTGGGAGTCATGTCTGAATTATTTTCACAAAAAATAGGTCATCTGATCAAAAGGATGCAGCATTTAGCTCATACCTTGGACCCCAGTACTGAAAATGATTAGCATTCATCAATCCTTTGCACTTGCAAGGAGTTCAGTGAAATTAAGAATGTTTGTTTACTACATACAAATAGAGGGTATTCAAATGGCAAAACTGCAAGTTAGTCACTCAAGAGATCTGTAAAATCCTGGAGTTATAAAGCACAAGGAGACAGAGTTTGCCACAAGTGTTTACTGCATGTCATGCCAGGTCTATAACACATATACTTTCCTTTTCATACCCATCAATATTAAATACAAACATTCCTATTGGCTATTTTCCTTTAAGAAATTGTCTTCTTAGCTGTCTAAATTGTAAATGGAACAATATTTTAAAAAAATATTAAAAATATTTTTAGTCAAAAATATTCCCTCTTTCACTGAATGAAGAATGATGACTTTTATCTGGTATTTTAAATTGACATGCCAATAAAGAGACTGAATTTAGGCTCTTGGTTAAGCATTGGCTGTGCTGGGAATACAACTGCTTACCAAAAAAGGGTGACAACTAATTGTATAGATTGTTGTTCTGATACCTGTATGACGTGTAACTTTATAACATGTAACTCTTAGAAAAGGCTTCAATCCTAAAGTTATAAACAAACAGGAGAGAATACAACAGAGGCCAAACAAGACAGTCAGGCAATAAAACACACAATATACAAGGAGAAGCTGAGGGAGATAGGCTTGTTCAGCCTAAAGAAGGCTGGGATAAGGAAGGATGTGGGAAGACAGGAACTACTTGCATCCCTCAACTATTTAAGGTTTAGCAATAGGAAACACAAAGACAGAATTTTCTTGAAGATGTACAGGTAATAATAAACAAAATGCAACAATTAAGAGATTGTATTGCATGTAAGAAAAAAAGAAAATCGCAAGATCTGTTAATCACTGAAAGAGTTTGTCCAGGGATTCAGTCTCCTAGGAAGTTTTTACAATTCAGTTGAACAAGGTCCTAAAAACCTCATCTGACTTAAAAGTTAATCCTGCGTGGAGCAAGAGATTGTCTGGGAAAACCTCCATGGGTCCCATCTGACCCAATTCATTCTATGATCCTATGTTCAGTGACAAAAGATTAAAGCATTTTAAAGATGCTGTGGGTTTTAGTGGTATTCTCAGTTATACAAATAGGAAATAGCATAGGAAGCTATCTAAATCACAGGGCATCCATGCATTATCACTCTATTTGCAGAGACATATTTTTCTGCTCAGTACCAGGTGGTCTCATACTTTCCTAGCATGGTTTCCTGTCCACTGCAGTAAGTAAGAAATTAGTGTTCAGAGACATTTTGTATGGAAACATCTACAGCCTTGATTTCTCATCCTCCCCTCTGAAGAAATGCACTCTACTATCCAAGAGAATTATAATCCATAAGTATCATTCAAAATCCTGTCATTTATACTTTGATCACAACAGTAACCAAGACTTAATTCACACAATCAGCCTATGTTGAATAACGTCCAGGATGAAGAATCTCTTTTTCAAGAAACAAGGTACAAAATATAAAGATACGTGAAGTTCAAGACATGCCATCACACTTTACCAAACACCTATGACTTCCTCCAGCCTCTCAGCTGCCTCCACACGCACTGTCAGACATTCCTGAGTTCATAGCAATACACTGCAAGCAATGACATGATTGACAATCTGAAAGGCAGCCTAGTCAGGCATTTCAATAGCAAAGACATTAGAAAAATCATTCAATTCAGTTTTCAAAGAACAGGGGTATTTGTCCTGTTCCACATGAAAATGCAGGTATATTTTAACAGTGGTTTTAAGGAGAAAGGCCTTATCTCTATGAGTATTCAGACACACAGAAATGTTAGCAAAATTAGTGGAATTCCATCCTATATTCAAAAAAACCCTAGAATGAGTCAGTATTTATCCCTTATCCTTTTTTTAAAAGATCTATTCCAAGGCCAATCTGAAATGTGATTGCATGAGCCAAAGCTAATGTTCAAGACTCTATGTTTTTCACTTTAATTGCCTAAAATTATAAGCCTATGTAAAACTGTGTGTTCTTCACTGTATCAGGATCATAACAACCTCTAAGTTTTATGAAAGCTTTATAGTGAAGAGTTCAAACATATAGCCTCTGCTGAAATTGAAACCATCATTTGCTGTTTATTGAGATCAAAAGAGCTCTCAAATGTAAATAGTTTCAAATAAATAAAATTAATAACATAAATAGTTTGTGCAGTTTTCATTTGAAGGGACTGATCATATCCACAAAGCTTCTATTAAAATCACAGGGGTTTTTTAATAATCAAGAGAATCCAAAGAATCAGTACAGAAATGCAGATTCTGAATATTAGTTCTGCTAGGTATTAGTTTGCAAGTAAAGTTTACAGACTGGAAAGCAGCAATATCTCTTGGTTCAAAATGGTAGTTTACCAACTGTTTAGAGGAATTCTTTCCTCATGTTATGCATCTTTTGTAGAGAAATGCAAAAATGCAAACCACATCTCCTGAAGACCAACTAACTTGTACGCAATAACAAATCATGGAGCTTATTCCAAATCCTAGTGACTTAGAAAACCTGATTGTGACAGACTAATTCTTTGGTGCTTGCTAATTCTCAACAGAATGGAAAGGATTATGCATTACCACAAGTATGCTACAGCTTCGTGTTGCAACTCCATACAAATCACATTGCAAGTCCTACAGTTAGAATCATTCAGCAAAGGGAACTTGATGGTTTTTTCAAAATCAAACAATCCCAGGGAAATAATCAGAGTGCAAAGCTTGCACTGAACCGGGGGAACTGAGAGAAGTTCCCTACTTACACCTTATGTGTTTCCCATGTTAGTTTTGGGTCCTATAAAACAACTGAAAATCTCTTACTTTTGTTCTTCAAAGACAAAGAAAGAAGGATGCTTCAGTGGCTCCAAGTGCTAGTAAGTTGCCAAATACCCTGAAAGAAGGCATTCAGCATGCATTAACTTTGAAGACAAGCACTTTTTCCTTTCTGTACCGGTAAAAGGTTGGTTTAGTGAACTGCCATTCTGAGGTGCTAAAATTTATATTCACTGCACAAAATGTTGTACCAAATCTGGAGGCTGTATTTTTCCAACATTTTAGCATTTAGATTTCTCACCTGCATAAACCTTATTCTGCTGTCTACTGACTCATTCAATGTGCATTTCCTTATATAAATTAGTATATCATTTTAAAAAAGGAGTATATTTTATACATCAGTGATACTCTTATTACTAAGAACTATTACTGCTTGCTCTCACATGATTTATTATTTAAATTTTAACCAATCTGAAACTGTTCATAAACATAAAAGATGACTGTTCAAGATTTTTTTACTCCCTTGAAATATAATCCCCATTTAGCTAAATACACCATTCACCAAGATAATAAATTGTACAGAAGAAGTGCTACCATTATAATTTTTATTTGTTTGAGCTAGAAGGAACTCCCACATAATGACAATTTTTGTACAGTTTGAACTGAATGCTAATGCCTATATATTTCAGGCACTTTAATTAAACTAAAAAAGGAATAAATCATCAAAACATTTTGAGAATCCTAATCTAATGGTCTGGCAACAATCAAAACATTTCCACTCCCTGCTCCTACTCATGGCCATGAACCTTGTAAGCAGTAGTCAGCCTTGAGACTTTTGAAAGAGGAGTATTCTTTGCAATTCTCCATCATCTGAGGTGCATGCTGCTAATACTGGTCTGTACTAAAAAATTTAGGAGGAGGATCTGGAGTAAAAGGAAGGAGTTTAGCTCGAAACTTGATATTATGAAGATCTCAAGCAGATCCACCAAAGAACATTTCAGACAGTATAAGTATCACCTTATGTAAGGTCAAAGCAGACATATGTGTGTATATATATATACATACATACATATATATATATATATATATGAAGTGTCCAAAAAAAAATTTAAAAAAAAATGTCTACTAAACAAAAACAATTTAAAATAGGAAGTTATTAGAAGTCATCCTTCAAGAAACTGAAGTTGTATTCAGAAAAGAGGAAAGATAAGAATAGATAAGAATGAATTTTGGTAGACCAAAATAGTTTTCATAGAATAATCAGTGTAGGCATAAAGCAGGGAGACTGCCAGACTGCCACAGTATTATTAGGAAGGTATTTACTCTAGAATATTATTTTATGCAGAATAAACTGGAGGACATACTTTGAACTGATATTTCAGAAAGAGAAGCTGTAAAGGGAGTCAACAAAAAAACCCCATATTTTTAAAATTAAATTATAGTTAGTGTAACGCAGCTCCAGCCTAAAATAATTAGTAACTGTAATAGAGTTAAGTATTATTATTATGTAAGTCTTTCACTGATAAGAAGTATAAAAGCTGGAAAAAATACCAAGATATTTTTAAGGAATTTCAACATTATATAAATGGAAGAATAGACAAATAAGTCTGACATCCACATTTGACAGATTTTTAGAAACCCAAATACACAATGAAATTAGCAAGCATATGAATAAATTATGATAAAATGTGGAGAAGTCAGAATGTGTTTAGTAGAGGGAATTCACATCTGTTACATGTATTAGAATTCTTTTAAGTAGTCACAGAGAAAGTGAGAAAATGGGATTTATTCCTACTGCTCAGTTGGGATTACAGGCTTCTAAAGAATCTCAGCTGTCATGGAATAGGAATAAATTCATCCATGAGAAAACTTAATTAATGAAAGGACAAGAAAAAAACCTGGAATAAATTATCAGGGGTTTTTTTAAGCAAAAGTTTTCACCAGCAAAGCCCCACAGGAGATTAGTCTAGAGATAGTCTGTTCACCTTATTCATAAAATATCTAGAACAAAAATAAATGAGGTGCAGGAAAGCCTCACACTAAATTAGCAAAAGTAATTGAAGAAAACGCCAGCTGAGGAGTGCTGCAGAACAGTCCCAGACTGAATGGAGAAGTTGACTTACTGAAAGACAGATTTGGGTTAGAAAGAAAAGCTATCTGTGGTGAGCATGGTGAAGCAGTGGAATTTCATAAGACTCTGTGGAAGAATCTCATTGGAAATCTGTCAAGAGAAGTCAGACATATATCTCTCTGTCAAGTTCAAATGATCCATTTCAAGGAGAATCTAAATGGTGTATCAAAATGTGTCATTAGGAAATGAAGCATTTTTCCTAATGCTATGTTTCTAAGGATGTAGGCATAATTACTCAAATATCTGTCCTAATTGGCTTTTGTAATCAGATGAAATGAATACAGAAATTATCTCTGTTATTACTAGCAACATGACTTAGTCAGTCATTTAAAAAAACAAATAAAATATATAAGCCTACTTAAGGCAGCATTTTTAAGTTACCTTAATGAAAACCAAGGCAATTTGATACATTTACACATAATCTCAGTTACTTTAATTATCAGGAACTATTATTAATTTTTTATATTTTTTATTGTTTTATACTTTGTTAATCAAAAACTTCAGACCATTATTTAAAACACTTTTCAGTCTTAGGACAAGAAACACATAACATGCATACTATTGTCTCCTACCTTACAAAAGATAGTATTTACCAATTGCATGGTATTTGCAATGAGCATATTACTGAAAAAAAATGACTTATGTAAATAAATTATATAAAAAATACTACCTGAATAAACATTAAAATAATGAAATTGTATTGTTTACAAAATACATCTTTTCAAAAAAGACTAGCATAATACTTCTTGAATTCTGCCATGTATCTTCTACAAGTATCTGTCAGAATCTGAGAAAGATTCTGCATATCAGATCTGAACATTTTATCTAAAATGTTGAGTAAAATGATCTCAGAAGAGTTTTTTGTGATTACATCAGTTGTGCTGAATTTTTTACTCTATCCTTCAGCTTTTTTAAGAATTCAGACTGCTGGTTTACCATTTGTTATGCAAGAAACACCAGCATATGCAGAACAATATATGTTAGTGCATTTAATTATTTCCCAGAAATAGGTTAACATTTGCATGTGTATGCACATATAAATATGATAATACGTGTGTATATGTACAATTGCTAATAAATATTTTAAAGCACTATATTATATTATATAAAATGTTCTAGCACTAATTTTACACTAATCTTGTACAGAAGAAACTAGGGAAGCAGGAAAGAAACAAATCCTTGCTCTACTTTGTAATAATATCTAAATATTAGCATCACTAGATCACTAGATATACTTCTGTTTCTCAAATAGAGACTCATCCTCCAATCAAAGAAATGTACTTGCATGAGTTTGTTAGTCAAAAAAGGATATGTATTAACTTAAAAACCATAATCACAAATTCATATGCAATTGGAAATTACTGGAAATGAGGACAGATATCTTCAAAGTCCCTGGAGTAGATTTCTCCTTAATGGAAATCTGTTTCAGTAGTTATGTGATTTGGATTCATAAGCAATGGGTAAGAGACCCTGAGTTCAGGAGAAGCCTGCTGTTCCCTCTCACAGCTCCATACCTTGTTGGACCGCAGAGACACTCTTCCTCCGCAGCGCGCGCAGAATTTCGTTTGGCAATAGGAACAGTTATGGCCACAGCCATCAGCAAATTTGGTTTTGTGGCAGATGCCACAGGTTGGGGCATCACCCTTCTGCTCCTGGTGCTGCTGTGATTCTTCACCCATCTTCTTCACTTGCTCCTTATACATCTCAAACTGCTGATGTAATTTTCTGCAGAAGAGAAGAGATCATTAGTTGTGGGTTACTTTTGCCCACAAATACTTCAGTCACTAAACGTGAATGTAATAATTTTCACAAATCAGAAAGAAATACTGTAGTAAAGCAAATATATTTAATTTATTATGTTCCAGAAGTGTTACAATCAAGAATTACTTCTTTTTCATTATAACTAAACTCTAGGAGGAAGCTCAACATTGATAACACTGAGTTCACAGTCCAGTTGATACAAAGAGATGTAACTTTTCTTTAGGATGGGACCAGATATTTGCTACAAATACAACAGCTGCAAACACAGGTTAAGTAATAAAGATAAGTGATAAGCCCATGGTGCTAAACAATAAACTGGCAAAAGGAGAGGGAAAAATCTAATTAATTCTTTAAAGTATACTTCTATCTAATTCCACTAGATAGATGCAAATATCTTTTCTTGATCTAGCTTATCTTCATTTATCTAACAATACTGCATAGAATAATGATTCCAAAATGATTTTCAATCGCCAGCTTTAATAATAAGTTACCTCATATTAACAAATTATTATAAATCATTTAAGCCATTCATATCCTTGGATTGGAACTGTTATCTCATGTAAAATGTAAAGTAGAAGACAGCCTTAAGTGTAAAATCCAGGAAAAATTGCTTAAGATACACACATACATTTACCATCTATTTCCAGAACTAGAAACAAATGCAGTCAGTGGCCATGAGTGTCCAGAACTGCAATGTTAATTCATCATGTTAATTCATCCATATTTCTGAGTCCACAATCATCAAATCTCGATACATGATAATGGGAAGTGTCTCATGCTGACCAAACCTACAGACACATTTAATGCTCTATAATGGTAGTTTTTCTCAAAAGCTCTACTTCTAAAGGTAAATGATGTCATGGGAAATTTAATTTTCATTATAAATAGCCATAATATTTTAGCTTTTGCAGATTCTGAAAAAGATGAGAAGGGTGACATTGCATATCACAAGAGTTTCAAACTCATACAGAAAAAAAAAGAACTTTGACTTCTCTCTTTTTTTTTAATAGGGGTATGAACAGTGATATTTAAATTCTTAGCATGGAATTCAACTTGCCTAATTTTGCAATCGAGACTGTAAAGTTTAGTAAATTATAAGTTATTAATCCAATTTAGGAAGATTTTTTAGTTCCTTGAATAAGTTCAGGCAAAACCCAAAAAATAAGCACTTTTTATGAAACATTAAAAAGGTAACATAAGACAAAAAATATTGCAAAAGGCATTTATTTTTCCTTAGAATTATTCTTCTCAAGAATCTTGAAATTAAGTTAATAAAAAACACACATGAATCATAAGATGGAACAAAAAATATCCTCCTAGAAAACAACTAAATCCAGGAGACCAACTTCCTTAAGCATAAATGTATCATTTATATAGTTCACATATAAACTAATGATGCAAAACTATTTCATCAGAATTTTCAGAGGCCCCTACCAAAACAAATATTACACAAATCAGTTAAAAATTAACTTAAGCAGTTATTTACCATGGATATTCACACATATGGCAAGAATTGTTGGAATTCCCTTTGTTTTTCAGGAAAACTCCCCTAAGAATGTACTTTACATTTGACCACAGAGGAATTGTAGCAGCAGGCAGGCAGCTCCCTCTCTCCAACAGGAAGGACAGGAGGATGGAGTTATTCTTGTCTTCTGTACTAACCTGCTGCCTGAGCTCCCAGCTGCCACCGACCCTTTCCCAGGAAGAGGGAATGAGGTTACTTCATTTGCTTATGTGTCATTTTTCTGTGTACCTACTCTTGTCATTTCAAGATCAATCCTGAGTCCAGCAGTGTGGACTCCCAGCAGCAGTGGCTCCTTTTTCCCCTCACTTTCAGCCCTTTCCCACCTGCACCAGCAGGGAGAGGGGCTCATCTGGAATCTCATCGGAAGGGATGGCAGAGTTGGCATCGCCCTAAAAGCCTTTTGGGCAGCCAGGAGTAAGGGGCTTCCTCTGCCTTCTCCCTGCTTCCAAAGAGCTCCCTGTTGAGTGCTCTTTGTTGAATGGGGCAGGACAAGAGTTACTAACAAGCAAGAGCTGAATGAAGTTGAAAAAAAATTTGGAAGTCTGGAAACCTGGCACTTTTCAGCGTTTTACACTGACAACACTATATAATTGGTAGTTGGTAGTCTGGCCTGTTTCCATCAATAACACATGTAATCTCTGAGACCTTGCCTGCCTTTTAATTTTGCTTAGCACTGCATTCTTCATTTAAAGCATATTATCAATGCTGAACTCCAAGTTTATTTTTAGGCTGCATTCAGTTTTGTGGCTTCCTTATAATCTACAGCCTTTGTTTGTATGATTACTTGCTTACCAGTCTCGCTGATGCATAAAAAGCACAAGGCTTTTGCCAAATCTTAAGCCTCATGTACTGAAATAATTTCACTTGTGTTTCCTCTTGGGCACAAGAATCTATGTAAAGGTCATAACTTTTCCTTTAAAGTATAAACTTTCCAAGGTTATACAGAGTAGTTTTCCAAAATCCTTGTTCTAGTAGGAAACGTATAATCTGCCAAAATTGTTCCTTATTACATCTTTTTCTGTTTTGAGAAAAATATTACGTGTATTGATAGCTGTCAGAAAAAATTTAACAAAGACAAGAATCCATTAAATACTCAGTTAGACACAATATGTGTTCTATTTACTAAGCAGAACCACCTGAGATGAATACACGTACCCAAAACAAAATACAGAGTATTCATTTTAGGAATTTCATTTTAAAAATTTTGATCTATTTTGTAGATAAATATTTTTTTTTATCATCTAGCCTGCACAGGTTTAAACCAAAATTTAACCTAAAACCACACAGCAATAATTAGATGTTTAGAAAAGCACAGTATCCGAAACACATTTAGCAAAAACTTTATCATGTATACTTTTCAGAAAACATAATAAAATTCCATTTTGTTCAAACTGTCTGCAGTCATTGCTGCCTGAGGAGCTCGGAAGTTCACTTACTAGGGAAATTAAAGTAACCAGTACCAAGGCAAACTTCAGAGACTGAAAGCAAACCCAAGTATCCCAAGACTACAATTTCCAGTCCTGATATCCAGTGAGTTACTGTTAATGCAAGAGGTCAAGAGCCATCCATGACAGGTTACGTTGGAATAAACTTTTAAGATCATTGAGTCCAACTGTTCACCCAACACTGCCAAGGTCACTGCTGATTTATATCCCCAAATGCCGCATCCACACATCTTTTAAATACCTCCAGGGATGGTGACTCAAACACTGCCCTGAACAGCCTGTCCCGATGCTTGAAAACCCTTTCCATGCAGAATTTTTTTCTTACTATCCAATCTACACCTCCCCTGGTGCAACTAGAAGCCATTTCCTCTCATCCAACCACTGGTTACCTGAGAGAAGAGCGTGATCCACACATGGCTGCATCCTCCTTTCAGGCAGAGAGCAATAAGGTCACCCCTGAGCTTCTTTTTCTCCAGGCTAAACAACCCCTGCGCCCTCAGCTGCTCCTCATGGGACTCCAGACCCTTCACCAAACTCATTGCCCTTTTCTGGACACACTTCACCACCTCAATGTCTTTCTAGCAGTGAGAAAATGGGTTCTGCCCAAGAGTTGTATTTCGGGCCAAAATTTTATCCACAATGAAAAGACTTATTTTTTGACATGAGAAGGACTTTTTTTGTTTGTAAATCCAGATAATGATATTAAATAATAATTAACAGCTAATTTAAGCAGAAAACTCAGAAATGCATATCCATGACCCTTATATAAGTGTATTTTGGCAATGGCCCCTATAGCACATGCTACCTATCTGTACTGATGCAAAGTCTCACTCCTTTACTACATTTGTTTCAAAAATACAAGTATGTACTTTAACAACTTCTATACATTTTAGAGATTTTAGAGGAAAAGAAGAAGATGGCATGAGTTTACACAGACACCTAATGATACTGAAAATTTAGTCTGAGAAACTGATAATTAAGTTCTGTTCTTGTGAGAATTACTTCCCTGGACCATACTTGTATCAGCTAGAAGTTACAGTGGTGAAGTTCATGAGGTTTATATGACTAGACAAGTTTGGGTTTTTTTAAATAACATATCCAAGATAACTTCATAGAAGATATCTCAGTGTGAAAAGCAACTGTTTGTAAGAATTTGGATTGCTCTGCCAAAGTCAAGATATAGCTTGTATTGGAATACTTGCTTTGTTCTGGAATGGAGTTAATTTAATTCTGCTTTTCCTGATTGCCCACACCTTTCCAGAAATGAAAATTTCAATATCAGTCAAAAAGCAACAAAATGTGAGTCTCTCCTGATCCATGCCAAAGGCAAGTAAGAAATTCAAGTTTATTATTGACATTTTATTACTGTACAGAAATTTTAATTTTCTCCTCCCCTCCAGAAATATCCCTAAAACTTTCAGCGTTTTACCAAAACTTAAAAAAAATTACTGACAAGAAGTTCTGAAACTATGCCTACCTTCCAAAAGTTCACATAAATGTTTCTGAAATTTCTAAATCTGCTAAAAATCTACCACTAGAAGGGCAACTGTTAAGAAAGAATACAGGATGTTTAGGCCAGAAGTAAGTGTAGAAGCCACTTCTCATTTCCTCATTTCTCTCTCAAAGTTTTATTACAGATGTAGCACTTGCCTCATTTCGTATTCCCAGGCACAGAGCATGGATGTGGCTTTAATCCAGCTTCAAAAAGGGTTTGTTCACTTTCAGTTCTGCCAAGTCCATTCATTTAACAATTTTTCTGCTGGTGGCAATGACTGGTAGCATATGACATTTTTCCTGTACTGTACTCTTGAAGTTCCTGCTTTTACAAGTGTGCCAGCTAACCTGACACTGCCTACAGCCACTTAATGGATTTTACACTTATATATATATAACCCCATGTGTTGGTAGAGGTTGGGAAACAGCAGGCTGAACAGCAGTTCTGCCGATAAGAACCCCTGGAAAATAGGGTGGAAACCATGCAATGAGCCAGTGCT